ACCAGAGAATACTACAGCTTCTTAGCTGTGGCTCCAAAGTCGAAAAGAGGCCCTGTTGCAAGAACGGTGGGTTACGTATATAGTAACCCTAGTTCTAGAGTGATGTGTGTGTGAAAAATGCATTTAGTAAAAACGATTGCATTTATCCCAGAGTAAGAGTCATATCTCTCCACAATTCCACATTTTCCCATAATGTCTCGTTGAGATCGGCAAGGCCGTTTTCATACGATGTTAATTGGACACCCATTATGAGGCGCGGCCCCCGTGAGAGTGGCCGCGGTGCGTTCAGGGACCTCTGCAGAAGAACAGTGCGTTACGTAGTGTAACTCTAGTTCTAAAGTGATATGTGTGTGTAAAATGCATTCAGTAAAAACGATTGCATTTATCCCAGAGTAAGAGTCATCTCTCTCCACATTCCACATTTCCCCATAATGTCCGTTTCAAGGAGACGGCATTATGACGACGCGCGCCCCCCCCCCGTGAGAGTGGCCGCGGTGCGTTCAGGGACCTCCGCAGAAGAACAGTGGGTTACGTAGTGTAACTCTAGTTCTAGAGTGATATGTGTGTGTAAAATGCATTCAGTAAAAACGATTGCATTTATTCCAGAGTAAGAGTCATCTCTCTCCACATTTTCCACATTTCCCCATAATGTCCGTTTCAAGAGACGGCATTATGACGACGCGCGCCCCCCCCCGAGAGCGGGCCGCGGTGCGTTCATGGACAGAAGAAGCTCCGATTAATGCTTATTTCTCTCTAAGAGAAAACAGCATTATGGTGGAGCGCGCGCTCTCACGGGAGCATGCCATGGTGCGTTCAGGGACCTCAGTTAAAAATCGGCCGTTTTTTTCTCTGAGTGGAAACTACATTATAGAAAAACGGCCCTTTCTGTGTCAGCCCCCCATGGGTCAAACTTCCTTTTATGGAGGGTTTGACGGCGGAGTGGGCCACCAGAGAGTACCACAGCTTCATAGCTGCGGCTCTACAGCTGATTGCACATCCCCTAACACAATGTTATGGGGAATGGAAAATCAGTGGTGTATTAACAGAGCGCATGGACAGGACACTGAGACTGGGTTATTCACTCCAGTTTTGCAGCATCCCTCCTCCGTTCAGAGGCAGGAGAGAGGCACATCTGTCATCCCAGGAGGAGGTTTCCTCTCAGCATGTGCACTCTCAAGTCAGAGAGAAAGGGCATTATTCCCTGTACTTCCTGGTTCCCAAGAAGACAGGAGAATTCAGGCCCATTTTGGATCTTCAATGCCTGAACCAGCACATTGCATGCAAGAAGTTCCATATGTTAACTATGAAACAGTTACTGAGACTGGTGCAGCCAGGCGATTGGTTCACAACCATCGACCTGAAGAACGCTTACTTTCATGGCGAAATTGCTCCAAGAGCACAGAAAGTATTTGCGTTTTGCCTTCCAGGGGGTAGCCTACGAGTACAACAGATGCCGTTCGGCTACTCCCTATCCCCACGCACGTTCAGCCACGACGCTGCAACCGCTGCGGGACCATGGCATGAGGGACGACCTCATAGTTATGGCCAGGTCCAGGGAATGGGCAATACTGCACACAGCCCAATTGATCCTACACCTAACCAAGTTGGGTTGAAAAAGAAGTTGCGGTCAATTGGAAGAAGAGCTCCCCCATACCTCACCAGCAGGTAGAATATCTGGGGGTGATGCTCGATGCAGGCAGACTACGTGTCACCCTGACAGAAAGCAGACAGGCATCCCTGCTGCGGGCAGTCTGCAGGCTGCGTCAGGGGGCGACGGTGACAGCTTTGATCATCATGCAGACTTTGGGTCTCATGACGGCTGCTCACTCCGTAGTGCCACTCGGACTGCTGCATGCACGTCGCATGCAGAGGTGGTTTACCAGCCTTCGTTTAGATCTTAAGACACAAACGACGTCTGGTGGCCATCCCCCCCCTCAGTAGAGAGCAACCTCCGATTCTGGGGGTCCCCAGAGAATCTGCGGAGGGGAGCTCCACTGGGGCAGGTAACCTCCTATATCACAGTCTTCACAGACGCTTCAAAGAAAAAGAAAGTGACAGGATGGGGGGGGACGTGTCTAGAGAGAGCTGTGGGTGGTTGCTGGCCTCTGGCAGCACAGCAACCTCCTGGAGCTGCAAGCAGTGATGTTGGTCCTACAGCACTGCAAACCCTTAATACAGGGCAAACAGGTGCTAGTAAGGAGCGACAACCGCACCACAGTGGCGTACATCAACAGGCAGGGCGGAGTCCGCTCAATAGCCTCGTTGACCGCAGCAGAGAACCTGTGGCTGTGGGTTTCACAGATTGTGTTGTCTCTAAGGGGCCTGCACATCCCGGGACGGGAGAACAGGGGGGCCGACCTCATGTTAAGAGGCGGACCCCTGCCAGACGAGTGGAGGCTTCACCCGGTGGTGGTGAAGCAGGTCTGGACTCAGTTCGGTAGAGCAGAGGTGGACCTGTTCGCCAATCGGCGCAACAGCCACTGTGCCCTGTGGTTCTCCCTGGCTCGGTGGGACAACCCGCCCTTGGGGGTCGACACATTTGCACACGAGCCATGGCCAAGAAAGCTGCTTTACGCCTTTCCACCGCTGCACCTTATCCCCCCCCTCCTGGAGAGGGTGAGGCGGGAACAGCTGTCAATCATCCTGGTGGCCCCAGATCGCCGCCTGGCGCCGTGGTAACGCGGGGGTAACACAGATGATGGTGGGCCAGCCCTGGGCGATTCCTCAGGTCTGGGGAGCGCTGTCTCAGGAAGCAGGTGCAATAGGGGCGTTACCCACTCTGGGCCAACCTCTCCAGGCTTGGCTCCTGAGAGGGACAGGCTGAGACAGGTGGGGCTGTCTGATAACGTTATTCAGACTATCCAAGCAGCAAGAGCAGAATCCACCACAGCTTGTTACAGGCCAAAGTGGGCGGGATTCCGGCGATGGTGTGAAGGAAGGAGTCTAGAGCCTCTGTCGTGCACGCTGGGCTCTATTCTTACCTACTTACAGATACTGGTGGACAGGGGGCTGGCTCATTCCACAATTAAGGTGTATGCAGCAGCCATTTCGTCCTGCCATGAGGGATTTGGAGGCAGGTCAGCCTTCAGGCAGCCGTTTATGACGCGGTTTTTCCAGGGGGTCAGGAGGCAGCGCCCAGTAGTGCACGCCTCCGCCCCGCAGTGGGACCTGCCGTTGGTGCTCGAGGCTCTGGTCACAGAACCATTTGAGCCTCTGGAGCTCTCCTCCCTGAAAGCACTGTCATGGAAGACAGCATTGCTACTTGCCTTGACTTCGGCTAAAAGAGTGTCCGAGCTGACCGCTCTGTCGGTACACCCAAGTTGTCTTTTGATCCGGGGTGACCGTAGCGGGGCGACACTCAGGCCGAACCACTCCTTTACTCCTAAGAGTATCAGAAGTTCATTCAGATCAAGGGCTATTCAGTTAGGTGGCTTTAATCTTCCACCCCATATTGGGGCCAGGGAGGCTAAATTGCACCTCCTCTGCCCAGTGCGTGCGCTAGCATGCTATGTAGAGCGCACGGCTGCCATTAGGCGCAATGAACAACTGTTTGTGTGCTTTGGGGATGGTGTGGCTGGAAAAGCCCTCTCAAAGAAGCGCCTAGCAGGATGGCTATGCAGGTGCATTACACATGCCTATGGACGGGCGGGGAGAGCCCTCCCCACTGGGGTCCGTGCACATTCTACACGGGCTGTGGCTGTGTCAACTCACTCACGGCGTGAGTGTAGAAGATATATGCATGGCGGCGTCTTGGTCTCCGCCAGGCCCCTCCCAAAAATGTTATCTCCTGGACATGTCTGGCTCCTTCTCGTCGTCGGTGCTTGCCGAGGCAACGCATGACTGGTGAGAGGGGGGTGGCTGTGGGTCAGCAGGTATCTGACCCCCCCCCCCCTGGACATAAAGCACTTGTGTTTTCCCATGCTCCTGAGGGACTCGGGAGACATGGTGCGCAATCAGCCCCATACAGGGCTGGAGGACTCTCCCCGCCTGCCTATGGGCAGGCGGGGAGAGCCTTCCTCACTATTGTCCATGCCCACTCTACACGGAGCGTGTGTGAGTGTGGGGGATGTGGTGCACTTATGTTTTCCCGTGCTCCTGAGGGACCTGGGGAACATGGTGCGCGGTAGGCTCCAGACGGAGTCTCCGCACAGTTTTTTCCATGCACACTCTACACGAGGTAAGCGTGTGTGAGTGTGCCTTATCCAAGTTGCGGCCCCGACTTCTCCACGGTTACAACCGGATGGGAGGAAGTGGGGATGCAGTGGATGTTAGCCAAAAGCCGGTCAGGGACGGTGTGGTGGGTCAATGTTGTTGGACGACAGGGCGTTTATACATCGGGGCTCCGCCCACTGTACCCATAGAGTCCAGTAGAGGGCGGAGCCTGTGTGAGATATAACGGGGGGTTACGTATTGTAACCCTAGTTATATAAACACAGGCGGAGCCCTCTACCTGGGGGCCCTGTCTTTCCTAGTCCACTCGCTGAAGAGTGTATAGGATAGTGGGGCGGCGGCTGTAGCCGCCTTATATACTGTGGGCCTGCGCGCGCATTCAGGTAGGCTCGCCCCGATTGGCCGGCTATGTTTACGTAAATTCAGTAGGTGAAAGCACGCACAGCATGATAGAGAGTAGTACCCATAGAGTCCAGTAGAGGGCTCCGCCTGTGTTTATATAACTAGGGTTACAATATGTAACCCCCCGTTTTCACTATCTGTAAAAAAGAATTTTTGGACGGACACTATAATTTACAGTTTTTTACTATGTAAAATCTGAATTTTCTTTAAAATAAAAAACATCTATATTGATTCTGACACTTCTACAGCCAACTCACAGATGTAACCTTGCTTTGATAAAAGAAATTATTCATATAACCCTTTTAGAAGTTAGGTTGTAGTCATTTGTTTTGGGCATGTCATTTTCGAGCCTGAAACATGAAAAACAGGCTTGGTGCTTAACAGGTTAAGGAAATGAAAGCTGGAAAGGTTCAGAAACTGAGTCTTACCTTTTGAAAGAAAAAGGGAAATCCATGGAGCGAGCACTCTTCGTGGACCCACAGCTCGAAGGAGAATCTGCTCTCATCTTCTCAGGATTGGATTTATATCTGCGTTGACTGACAGGAAGAAATGTTAGGAGTTTATATAATTGTACTTAAAGAGACCCTCAATGAGCCTTTTAGGTGTTTGGCCTCTCATTGCATATTCCTCTATTACTTGTTTTAATTGTGAACATTCTTTATTTATTTGATCAATAAATCAATAAATCAATGAAATAGCACCAAAATATACAGATTAAAATCCAGCCTTTGAATGTAAACTGGACTTGGATTATTTAAAGAGGGAATTACAAGTTGATTAATAAATTACTTGTTATATTCCATTTCCTAATTCTTGTTTTTTTAAAGACCAAATCTTCATTTTGAGAGTCAAAATTGAATGAAAACGTATTCCTGTTTAATAAAGTAGAAAAACAACTCATTCAGGTTTCCCTGATAACAATCAGGAGAAGTGAATACCTGTAGAGCATGCTGAACGTACGTAAATAGTCCAAGAGGCGCTGCCACCTAAAAGGAGAAGAAATAAAGACAGAAGTTATTTTATTCCTACAGTTCTTCTGCTTTCTTGTAGTATTTCTTAATGAAACATCAATGAAAACGTGTTATTATCCCAGTGTGTTGACTTCACTCTGCTTTCATCAGCATGTCCAATCTGCCCACTGATAACACATAGAAACCAGATACATGTGTTTTTTATATAATGTATATCTTTTCTGCAGATATTATAGCCAAACCACTGTGTCATGTTTTTAATCTTTCTATAACAAACAATGTCATTCCAGATGTTTGGAAAACTGCAAATGTTCTCCCCTTATTGAAAGGTGGTGATCCCATGGTGATGAATAATTACAGACCAATTTCCAAGCTCTCTATTTTAGCTAAAGTACTTGAAAGGCTGGTGAATGATCAAATCAAAGAATTTTTAAGCTTGAACAACATTCTATCTCCTCACCAGTCAGGCTTTAGGAAGCAGCACAGTACAGTAACGGCTGCTTTGAAAGTAGTGAATGACATTGTTGAAAGCTTGGACGCAAAGAGCTACTGTGCTGCCCTTTTTATAGACTTATCCAAGGCATTTGATACTGTGGACCATGGCATTCTATGCCAGAAGTTATCTTATATAGGCCTGTCTGACCAAGCTGTTGGTTGGTTTGCAAACTATCTTTCGAATCGCAAGCAATGTGTAAAATTCAGCGGTCTCTCCTCAAGCTTTCTTAATGTGCCCAGAGGTGTTCCTCAAGGTTCGGTCTTGGGACCGACCCTTTTTACTATTTATATAAATGATGTGGGTCAAAGTATTGATGCCTCTTTACATCTATATGCAGATGATACTGTTGTGTACTGTTGTGCTAGCACTGTTGCCCTTGCATTTGAACGTCTGCAGTCTGCTTTTGACACTTTTCAGTCACACCTGTTCCACCTTAGGTTGGTGTTAAATTCAGACAAGACAAAAGTCATGTTGTTTTCCAATAAGAAAAGGTTACCAACTGTTCTTCCCTGCATCATGTCTGCACAGCATAACCCCATTGAAGCTGTTAACACCTACAGATACTTAGGCATTACTATAGATGACAATCTCTGCTTCAAACCACATATTGACAATCTCTTAAGGAAATTGAAATTAAAACTGGGATTCTTTTTTAGAAATAAGGCTTGCTTCTCCACAAGTGCGAGGAAACGGCTTGTAGCTGCCACATTTTTGCCGCTCTTGGACTACGGGGATGTTGTGTACATGAACGCCTCAGCTCACTCCCTTCATCTGCTGGACGCTGTCTACCATGGGGCTCTGAGGTTCATAACCAACTGTAAACCCCTCACACACCATTGCACGCTGTACTCTTTAGTCAACTGGACATCATTATCAATGCGCAGATCACTGCACTGGTACAAACTCATCTATACCGCTATGCTTGGACTGCTGCCCCTCTACATATCCACTTACATATCACACAAACAGTACAGCTATAGCCTACGATCTCAACATTACATCACTCTGTCCGTCCCCTCAGTACGCACGGTGCTTGGGAAAAAAGCCATATCATACTCTGCCCCCTCGACCTGGAACACACTTCAGCAGGAACTTAAGCTGACCAGTTTGATACCCATCACGGATTTTAAACTAATTTTAAAAAAAGCTGGAGAAATCATCTGTGGGTGTTTGCACCTGCTATATCTGACTACTGTATGGATTTCAATGACTACTTTTTTTACGATGTTGTATTTTATTGTTGCCTCTGTGTTTAGTGTCCTGTCTGTCTGTAACTTTGTGTGGTAGTGTTATCACTGACAGGTCTCTCTTGAAAATGAGACCTTGTGTCTCAATGAGATTTTACACCTGTATAAATAAAGGCTAAATTAAAAAAAAATATATGTATATATATTCAACCTTTACTCTATATGTACTTTCACCTGTTAAAGTTCAGAGTTTAACTCGTGTCATTTTAGTTTTTTATTCATACTATTACTACATGTTTATTTGTATTCTATATATTTCCATCATCTATAGAAAATGGCTGACCTACCTTTAAGGTAAATCATGCCGTTTGAAAGACAGAGGTAGATGGACACGGCTAACAACATTTCTAACGTGAACAAGCATGATCTACATGATGGACATATTCCCCCTGCTGTTCAGACACTCAGTTAAGGTATCGAGAAAGAACGGGTTGAGAAACGTCATAATGCTTTAAAGTCTGATAAGTATCATCTAAAGGGAAATGTGCATCACATTGAAGTTAGATATATGGACGAGGCACACATTGTTATCAGCACTGCAGATATGTTAGTGTTAAATAAAACTGATATACTCTGAAGGAAATGAAAGCTGGAAAGGTTCAGAAACTGAGTCTTACTGTTTGAAAGAAAAAGGGAAATCCATGGAGCGAGCACTCATCATGGACCCAGAGCTCGATGCAGGAGAACCTTCTCTCATCTTCTCAGGACTGAATTTAGATCAGCGTTGACGGACAGGAAGAAATGTTAGGAGTTTATATATTTGTACTTAAAGAAACCCTCAATGAGCCTTTTAGGTGTTTGGCCTCTCATTGCATATTCTGCTATCACTTGTTTTTATTTGTGAACATTCTTTATTTATTTGATCAATAAATCAATGAAACAGCACCAAAATATACAGATTAAAATCCAGCCTTTGAATGTGAACTGGACTTGGATTATTTAAAGAGGGAATTACAAGTTGATTAATAAATTACTTGTTATTTTCCATTTCCTAATTCTTGTTTTTCTAAAGACCAAATCTTCATTGAAAGTCTGAATGTAAAAGTATTCCTGTTTAATAAAGTAGAAAAACAACTCATTCAGGTTTCCCTGATAACAATCAGGAGAAGTGAATACCTGGAGAGCATGCTGAGATGTGTAGGTAAATAGTCCAAGGGGCGCTGTCTCCTAAAAGGAGAAGAAATAAAGACAGAAGTTATTTTATTCCTACAGTTCTTCTTCTTTCTTGTGGTATTTCTTAATGAAACATCAATGAAAACGTGTTATTATCCCAGTGTGTTGACTTCACTCTGCTTTCATCAGCATGTCCAATCTGCCCACTGATAACACATAGAAACCAGATACATGTGTTTGATGTAGCTTAGTATATATATTCAACCTTTACTCTATATGTACTTTCACCTGTTAAAGTTCAGAGTTTATCTCGTGTTGTTTTTGGTTTTTATTCATACTATCACTACATGTTTATTTGTATTCTATATATTTCCATCATCTATAGAAAAATCTCATTTCATTTAAATAAAAAATAAGGACTAGGCAAATAGATATAAATCAACAATGCAGACAAAGTAAATTAGTGTTAAATTATATAGTTTTACTCTTAAGACAATTCAGATCAAAAGGTTCTGTTGACCTTCATATACATGGACTCTTACCGTCTGAGAGCCAAATGTTCTTGCTCTATCTTCCTGATCTCACGTTCTAATGCAGGAGAATCTTCTCTCTCCTCCTCAGCCCTGCAGAGATGGAGCGTTGACAGACAGGTGGAAGGTTCAGGAGCTTACTGACTAAAACATGGTGTTACAAATGTCCTCTCATAGCAAAACATGTTTGACAAAGGAGGTCAGCTGGACTAGTGTTTCTCAAATGGGGGTGTGTGTACCCATCGGAGCACTTTGGAGTACTCTGGAGGGGCTGAGAGATTAAAGAAGAAGTTACATTACATGATTCTTTGGTTATTTTAAACTTATCAAAACCTTAAAAACATATTTATTTTAAGTAATTAAACTAGGAGGAAGAGGAGGAGGAAGAGGAAACCTGGTCTAAATGTGTCTCATCTCCATCATCTATAGACAACCCAGTCTCACGGCATTTCGAAATTAATTTAATCTATTGGTTCGTGTTCACCAACACGATTTTCACCTTTTTTTCGTGTCACACAGAACGATTTTAAATGCAATGTATTTCTATTGGTAGTATGTTTCGTGCCTGCAACACGTCTTTTTGTCCGGTCGGGTCTTGGAAGACCAGAAGCTGTGTGGTTCATAAAAACATGTTCTTACTCAATATCTTACCCTAAGCCTAACCCTATCCCTTTTATTTTAAATTGTATAATGTCTGAGTTTGTTTGCCGTCCACGAGGAAAAGAAATGGCTCAGAGCCTCAGAATACTGACATCTGTATTTTATGTCATCTTTTTTTCCTTCTAATTTGTTATTATTTGGTGCAGGCACGAAACATACTACCAATAGAAATACATTGCTTCTAAAATCGTTCTGTGTCAGAATACTTAAATCTGTATTTTTTTAAATGTGTTTTTCCTTCTAATTTGTTATTATTTACATTGCTTTTAAAATCGTTCTGTGTGACACGAAAAAAATGGCGAAATCGTGTTGGTGAACACGAATCAATAGATTAATTTTGTGACTATAACACGAAATGCCGTGAGACTGTGTTGCTATAGAAAATGGCTGACCTACCTTTAATGTAAATCATACCGTTTGAAAGACAGAGGTAGATGGACACGGCTAACAACATTTCTAACGTGAACAAGCATGATCTACATCATGGGTCGGCAACAGGCGGCCCGCGGGCCATTGTTGGCCCGCCAGCAATAATATTTGGTCCGTAATGTTGAGAATAAAAAATAAAAAAATATTTTGAGATTTCTTTTTTTTTTTACAACATCGGACCGACAGTCGCACATATACTGTAGGCTATAATGTCCGAATAGAGAATCTACCTACACCTGAAGAATGCTTATTGTACTTTTATCCATGTTGAGAATGAATGACATACAGCACAGGCACAATCAGGCACCGGGGTGCACTGACGCTGATAGTGGATCAATAGGTGGACAGCGCGTGGTGCTGAAATAGCCAACATTCGGTGTGTGGTTTGAAAAAAATAACACCAACTCACTAAATCATTCAAACGTAATGTTTACTTATATGTGAACAGTAACAAAGTTCAGTCAAAACATTGACAACACAATTGGAGAAGCCACTTGATCATGGAGGGCGAGGAGTGGTGGTGCATATGCTCCTGAAACGACAGAGCACGCTACATTAGGGATAATAATTACAATGAGCCATTAATTCAAAAATATAAAAAATATAATTAGGCTATTAAATACAATTACGACAGGCTTGGTACTCACTTAATGTGAAAACTGACATCTCCCATCGGTCGCTATTTTTTGGATATCTGGTGATATGGACGTCACTTTAATCCGCAGGCAGTTCTCGAGGTTTTTATGCGTCAATCGATTCCTCTCGTGCGTCTTTATCGCATTCATTGAAGAAAAGGACGACTCGCATGTATAGGTGGAAGGGAACATTGTGAGCACATAAAATGTGAGTCTCTTGATCGTGCTATATTCCTCTGAGCTTCCCACCCAAAAGGCACTCACAGACTCCGCACTTCTGAGCGCATCGCTGACGAGGGAGCTTGTTTGAAAATCAATTAGCTCCATTTCTAATGCAGCCTCGTCTAAGGAGGGGATCATTTGTTTCGCCTGGGAGGTGAAGTCTCCACATGGTCGGACTGTGAGAGGATCGCGTACAAAGGCAATGATGTCTTTTGGGATGGAGTAGTCCTCAAACCTTGACGTGAAGTTGGCCCGTAGCTGCTTGATGAAGTCCACCATCAGCTCTGTCACTTGTCCCAGTGCCTGTGATTTTAGTGTACTGAAATGGAGGAGCCTGCCAGTGGATATGTCTGACTCGAACAACTCCAGCTTCCTCGTGAAGGATTCAAGCTTTTCAACCATGTCCACTATGGGTTTGCCTCTCCCCTGTAGCTGCAGGTTAAGCTGGTTTAGGTGGCCAAATATATCCGCTAAAAATGCTACATTGGACATGAACTTTTCGTCTCCCAGAAGGGCAAGGTGGTCAGCTGCTGCGCTAATCTTGCTCAATCTAAGAAACGCCTTGACCTCATCCAGTAGCGCACAGAAGCGGTCCAACGCTTTCCCTTTGCTCAACCAGCGCACGTCATTGTGAAGCAGCAGGTCATCGTGGGTGGCCTCTTCTGACTCAGCCACAAGTTGTCGGAAAAGCCGATGCTGGGTGCTTGATGTACCCCTGACAAAATTAATGACACGCATCACTTTGTCCATAACTTCCTTTAGCTCACCACTGAGTTTGGCGCAAAGGACACTCTGGTGGATGAGACAGTGCAGTCCATGCATTTGGGGGGCGTGCTCCTTCAACCTGCTTACCAGACCTCTGTGCTTTCCCACCATAGCAGGAGCCCCGTCTGTCACGATTAGGTTAACCCTCTCAAATGACAATGAATGCAGCCTAAACAACTCTTCCAGTTTCGTAAATATAACGTCCCCAGTGGTGTGCCCTTCTAATGGAATAAGAGACAGCAGCTCTTCCCTGAACTCCTTTCCATCAAAATATCTAACATAGACGCACAACTGGGCTACATCTGTACTGTCAGTGCTCTCGTCAATGGCTAAGGAAAAGTAAATGGCTTGACTGAGACCCTTGATGATTACCCCCTGCACAGCGTCCGACAGTGCTTCTATGCGGCGTATAGCGGACCTCGCAGAGAGGGACACCTGTTTCACTGACGCAATGACACCATCCATGGACTTGTCGGTGGCCAGTTCCTCCAAAACAGTCACCATCACCTCCTTGAAAACCTCTGCGTCAGTGAATGGCCGGTTGTGCTTTGCGAGCACCCACGACGCCTTTAGGGACGCAGTTGTCACTTTCTGCTGGGCTGTGAGGCCTCGCACCAGGATCCTGCTGCTGTGCGCATAACCTGCTGTCAGTGCTTCAATCTTGCGCTTTCGTGCCTCTGTCTTGGGGGGAAAGGCCACTTTGAAGGTGTCATGCTTCGTCTCGTGGTGCCGCTTAATATTGTATTCTTTGCAAGCAGCCACAACTTCATTGCAGATAAGACACAACGGCTTTGCATTGATGAAACCAGGTAGGATGAACGCATAGTTCGCTGTCCAGTCCTCTTTAAATGCCCTGTTTTCACCGTCAACTTTCCTCTTTAGACCTTTGGAGAGTGACATTACTGCTTTGGATTACTGGTCTGGGGGAAGCTTGCGAGTGTGTGTGTGTGTGTGTGTGTGTGTGTGTGTGTGTGTGTGTGTGTGTGTGTGTGTGTGTGTGTGTGTGTGTGTGTGTGTGCGCACGCGCGTGTTTGTGTATTTTTGCGTTTGTGTGTATTGTGTTTGTTTCCCGGGGAAAAACACTCAGGAGAAACCCCGGCTGTTGTTATGCTTGCTGTGACGTTACGTTACTCCGTTCTCCGCTTGTAATTATGCCGTTACAAGCTTCAAAGTTGTATTTATCATCTGAATTTGCTGAAACAAGTTTAATATTCTGAAAGCCAAGACTTTGTTTATTTGAAATCAGATGAAAACAAACTGTAACGGACCCTGCCGTGTTATCTATGATTACTATACGCCTTGCATTCATAATGTCGGCGGGAGGGAGGGGCAGCGGCGTGCGGAACAGCAGGGTGCGAGTGAGAGGTGCCTTCTTCCCTTTACAAGCTTCAATGTATTTATCGTGTGATTTTGGAAATGAAAGTTTCATATTCTGAAAGCCAAGACTTTGTTTATTTAAAATCAAACAAAACACCCGAACCCCGAAAAACTAGTTTTTTACGCAAATCCACGTTTATTTTTAAATGAGCCGTTGAGACTTCCGACTGATTTCCATAGAGCGGGTCACATGTGGCAAATGTGTGGTTGTGGGGAACCAGGTCAATTAAAGTACTTATTTAACTATTAAATACATTGAGTTTGAGTAAAATACTTGGTTACTGATTAATTTATGTTATAATATATTAAATAAATTGCAAAGCAAAACATGCTGTAATTTATTTATTTTGTATTTTTTAAAGGTTTTTAACCTGAAAGAATCCTAATGTGTCCTTGAAAAGTTGAAATAAAGAAAAGGAAAAAGGATTCCAGTTGTCCATGCGTCCTCTGTTGCCCCTCAAGCCTCTCAAATGTGGGCAAACACTCAAATAAATGCCAAAAACCCAGAGAACTTGACAATACTTATCAGAATAACACTGCTACCTAGTTAATAACTCACTCAGTGGAGGCTCGTCCATTGAGGAAAGGGAGGACCATCCTCCCTAAAATCTCAGAAAAAAATAAACTTTGAAGAGAACGATAAATACACCTCAATTTTAAAAGATAAGTCTGTTAAAATACAGATAATAGCCCTGACTTTTAACATGGGACTGAAATGGGGCTGACGGCGGGTCAATCCAGAGGCTCTGGATTGGGCGCCTATATCATCAGTGAACCAATCAGCGGATCTGACTGCGCATCAGAGTGTTGATGGGGAGGGTTATCAGCGATATCAGAGTTTTTATCAGATCCGTTGCAGCCCCTTTTTTAGAGATTTGGGTATGGAGGAAAATAGAGAGGGTTGTGTTTTCTGACACTTGGTGAGTTCCCTGGAACACCGGGGACACATATTCATGTATAAAAGACGTACAAAAGTGCATTTTGCATGATAGGTCCACTTTAAGGTATCGTGAAAGAACGGGTTAAGAAACGTCATAATGCTTTAAAGTCTGATAAGTATCATCTAAAGGGAAATGTGCATCACATTGAAGTTAGATATATGGACGAGGCACACATTGTTATCAGCACTGCAGATATGTTAGTGTTAAATAAAACTGATATACTCTTAAGGAAATGAAAGCTGGAAAGATTCAGAAACTGAGTCTTACCTTTTGAAAGAAAAAGGGAAATCCATGGAGCGAGCACTCTTCGTGGACCCAGAGCTCGATGCAGGAGAACCTTCTCTCATCTTCTCAGGATTGGATTTATATCTGCGTTGACGGACAGGAAGAAATGTTAGGAGTTTATATATTTGTACTTAAAGAAACCCTCAATGAGCCTTTAAGGTGTTTGGCCTCTCATTGCATATTCTGCTATCACTTGTTTTAATTGTGAACATTCTTTATTTATTTGATCAATAAATCAATAAATCAATGAAACAGCACCAAAATATACAGATTAAAATCCAGCCTTTGAATGTAAACTGGACTTGGATTATTTAAAGAGGGAATTACAAGTTGATTAATAAATTACTTGTTATATTCCATTTCCTAATTCTTGTTTTTCTGAAGACCAAATCTTCATTTTGAAAGTCTAAATTTAGTGTAAAAGTATTCCTGTTTAATAAAGTAGAAAAACCACTCATTCAGGTTTCCCTGATAACAATCAGGAGAAGTAAATACCTGGAGAGCATGCTGAACGTACGTAAATAGTCCAAGAGGCGCTGCCACCTAAAAGGAGAATAAATAAAGACAGAAGTTATTTTATTCCTACAGTTCTTCTTCTTTCTTGTGGTATTTCTTAATTAAACATCAATGAAAACGTGTTATTATCCCAGTGTGTTGACTTCACTCTGCTTTCATCAGCATGTCCAATCTGCCCACTGATAACACATAGAAACCAGATACATGTGTTTGATGAAGCTTAGTATATATATTCAACCTTTACTCTATATGTACTTTCACCTGTTAAAGTTCAGAGTTTAACTCGTGTCATTTTAGTTTTTTATTCATACTATTACTACATGTTTATTTGTATTCTATATATTTCCATCATCTATAGAAAATGGCTGACCTACCTTTAAGGTAAATCATGCCGTTTGAAAGACAGAGGTAGATGGACACGGCTAACAACATTTCTAACGTGAACAAGCATGATCTACATGATGGACATATTCCCCCTGCTGTTCAGACACTCAGTTAAGGTATCGAGAAAGAACGGGTTGAGAAACGTCATAATGCTTTAAAGTCTGATAAGTATCATCTAAAGGGAAATGTGCATCACATTGAAGTTAGATATATGGACGAGGCACACATTGTTATCAGCACTGCAGATATGTTAGTGTTAAATAAAACTGATATACTCTGAAGGAAATGAAAGCTGGAAAGGTTCAGAAACTGAGTCTTACTGTTTGAAAGAAAAAGGGAAATCCATGGAGCGAGCACTCATCATGGACACACAGCTCGATGCAGGAGAATCTTCTCTCATCTTCTCAGGACTGAATTTAGATCAGCGTTGACGGACAGGAAGAAATGTTAGGAGTTTATATATTTGTACTTAAAGAGACCCTCAATGAGCCTTTTAGGTGTTTGGCCTCTCAATGCATATTCTGCTATCACTTGTTTTTATTTGTGAACATTCTTTATTTATTTGATCAATAAATCAATGAAAAACAACTCATTCAGGTTTCCCCGATAACAATCAGGAGAAGTAAATACCTGGAGAAGAAAGGTCCAAGTCCACAGGACAAGAGGTCCTCCCTATAAAAGGAGAAGAAATAATGACAGAAGTTATTTTATTCCTACAGTTCTATTTCGTATATGGCTTCGCCCTCTAAGGCTATCGCTATTGGGTAATCCCCCTGCGCACCCGCGCAGCACTGAAACACTTGTAGTCCACGCCCGCCCGCAAGGTGGGCCCCACCCTTGGGCTCCCTTCCGGTATAAATAGGAAGGAGGCCCGACAATCTGCTCCCTCTTTTTCTTCAGCACCCCGTTACTGAAGCACAAGAGACACTTCGATTACAGAGAACATGAGTAACAATTGTGTGAGAGATTGTCCCTCATGTGGCTCTGGATACATCATGAGCTACGACCAGCACACGGTATGCGAATCCTGCCTGGGGTCAGAGCACGCGTACGCGGCTCTCAGCCAGCAGGTCGCATGCACACACTGTGCCCGTCTCCCCTCGGACGACAGGAAGCGAAGAGCGGACGCTCTCGCTGCTACGGCCGAGGAGGACGATTGGCCCGTCCAGGCTTTCGAGCCCGTGGACGGCAGCCTCATGTCCCTGGAGCCGAGTGCCGGGCAGGAGTCGGACGACGACTGCAGAGGTCTCCCCGTTCCCCTAGCTCAGAGCCACAGAGAGAGGTGTGCTCCGGACGACATGGCCGGAGTTTTTTCGCGGGTGCAGACGGTCACGAGTGATCCGATCTGGCCACGCTTCCCCGCCATCAGGAGGTACCAGGAGGGGGCGGCGGCGAATCCGAGGACCCTGAAGGCTCCGGTGGCCACATTTGTTCCCCTCACCAAGGTGGAGGGGTTCACAGATGCTGGATTCCCAGCCACCCCTTCTCTGGAGCCGAGCCTGACGGCGTTTTTTGGGGTGAGGCAGGCCAACATGATCGCCGGACGGCGCCCTACGTTGGCCTCCCCCAGGGACCAGTATGTCGCCCGCCAGGCAGACCGGGTGCACCATCGCGCTGCTCTCCAACTCGGTGGTGACGCTGGTGGAGCGATCCACCACCTTGGCCGCTGATGACGCGGAGGAGATCAGCAAGGCGTCCGTCGCTGTCTCCCAGGCAAGGATCGCCGTGTGGGTGACGCAGATTCAGCGCCACCTCTGGCTGCAGCAGGCGTCTGTTACGGAGACGGCCAGGAAGGTGCTACTGGACGCTCCAATCAGCCCGGACGGGCTGTTCGGACCCCAGTTCCACGCCATGGTGGAGTCCATGAAGGCGGCTGCAGAACAGGCGGACAACATCCGCCAGCACGTCAGCTGGCTCCAGCCTGCTGGGCGGCCACAGCGGCACCAACGCCCGCAGCAGCCGCAGCAGCCGCAGCGTCCAACCCGGCCACAGCGGCGTCAGCGCCTGTCGGCGGTGGCAGGGGCTCCGCCCCGCGTCCCCGCCCCGCGTCTCCGCTCCCCCGCCACCCCAGAGACGAAGGGGTCTCCCGGCGGTGAGTCAACGGGGAGTGAGGCACTCCCGCTCTGTGTCTGCTCCACGAGAGCCTCCGAGGAAGCAGAGCCGTTTTTGACGTGTTGGGGGGGGTTGTGAGGAAAATAAAATGGGTTCATTTTCAAACTTTTTGTCTGAGTCATCAGTATCAAGTGTTTCTCACATATCCTCCACTCTGTGTAAACCAGCTGTCTATAACCTATCGGTTAGTAGCCAGCAGGGTTCGTTGTAAAAGCCTGCAGTTTTTAATCTATCGGTTAATAAACTGCAGAGTTCGCTAACTAAGCCAGCTGCCACCAATCTGTTGATTAGTAGACAGCAGGGCTCGCTGCAGAAGCCTGCTGGTTTTAACCTATCGGTTAATAAACCGCAGAGCTTGCGGCATTCCTCTGTCCGAGATATGCCTCCTACACACGGTCATAATAAACCCATGAGTGCCTTTATAACGCCTCATGTGAACAGCACTGCATACACCTCCATTCATCCCCTGAGCGTGTACACGCCTCATGATGAGAACCGGAGTGAAACGCAGCGTGTGGAGGCTCCCTCACAGCCCTTTCGCTCCAGGCCCACCTTGGGTTGCCTCACGGGCAGCGGCGGCGAGGGCTCTGACGCAATGTTGCCAACTCCATAGTAAGGAAAGTAGCTATTGGCTGTCCGAAAAGTCACCAGAAGTCCCTAAATGACGTCATCGCCTAATTTGCATATCCTGTAATGGCGGTAAAAAAACGTTCCACCCCCTTCAAGGATCAAAACTTGAAACCATCAGAGTAAATCCAGACGACAGTAGATCAGAAATGTCTCTATTAGAAAAAGTAGAATCTCCCTTACAATAAAGGCAGTATAGTATGCCCGTGTGTCATCTCCAATAAATGGCTTCAACCATCCTTTAAACTCAGGGTTTGATTCCCACTCCTTTCTGTACTTTTGTGAATACAGTTTACTTAGAGACTGTGACATGATGACCTACGTGGATGTGTGCCTCTCTGTGACAGAGAGGCACACACACAGTGGACGAGGTGATTAAGTGACTGTTACATTTAAATCCGGCTCAAAACCAGGACGGCTTGGCAGTTGGCGCATGCACCATTTATTTGCAGTCTCGACCTATGGTCTTGACGCGGGAGAGTGTGACTGTCTCCTCTCTGCTCTGACTGCAGCTGAGCTGCTGCGGGAGGCAACTGAGCGCCTGTGAGTACTATGGGAGGGCAGAGGGGCTCACGGCAGCACCCGCAGCTCGTTAACTGCAGAACAATACGTGAGTCTCCAAACACCAGAAAAGTCCTTAATAACACCATTACAAGTCGTTAGATTAGTCGTTAGTCGCTTTTGACAAAAATAAGTAGCTGGAGTGTTTGGAAAGCCGCCAAATTTAACAACAAAGTCGCCAAGTTGGCAACACTGCTCTGACGTGGCTCGTCGCCATGACGATCACAACACATCTCGAGCATGTGCGCCCGCTCTCAGAGTGTTTCTCAGAGTGGCAGCGCGTGTGTCTGATGGACAGATGGATGAGCAGGCTGATCAGCAGAGGGTACACCCTGCAGTTCGCCTCTCCCCCCCACAGTTCAATGGGATACAGGAAACACTACTGTCATCCCAGGAACAGTGTCTTGCGCTCCAGGCAGAGCTGCGGGAACTCCTGTTCAAAGAGGCTATTTCCAGGGTTCCTCAAGGGGAAGAAAATCAGGGGTATTACTCCCGCTATTTTCTTGTCCCGAATGAGAGAATGAGACCCATCCTCGATCTGTCAGCTTTCAACAAGGCAATAATGAAAAGGCCTTTTCACATGCTGACGATCAGACAGGTGCTGGAGTGTGTTCACCAGGGAGACTGGTTCACATCTATAGACCTGAAGGATGCATACTTCCACGTACCCATCATCCCAAAACACAGGAAGTTCCTGCGTTTCTCATTCCAGGGAATATCGTACCAGTACAACCGTCTGCCGTTCGGATATTCTCTGGCTCCTCGCACTTTTTCAAAGTGTGTAGAGACGGCGCTGCAGCCGCTACACAGAGGAGGGATGAGAGTACTATTTTACCTGGACGACCTGCTATTGCTGGCTCGCTCCAGGGAGGAAGTTGCTTTACAGACGGTACAGCTCGTATCACATCTGTCAAAGCTGGGTTTCGTAATAAACTGGAAGAAGAGCTGCCCTCTTCCCTCCCAGAGTATTATTTACCTGGGTGTGGAATTGAACTCAGCCCGCATGAGAGCGCGACTCTCACAGCAGAGAGTGGAGGCACTGACAGCTCTTCTCCGACGCGTCACACCTTGCAGCGTGGTGACAGCCCTCTCCGTGATGCAGCTGCTTGGCATGATGGCAGCTGGTCACGTGGTGATTCCCCTGGGTCTCGTTCACATGAGGAGACTCCAGAGGTGGTTTATTCGCCTGCGCATCGACCCCGTGCGACAGAAGAGGCGCATGGTGGCCATCCCTCCTTCCGTGGGTTCAGACTTAACCTATTGTAAAAGTCCCCACGTCCTGTCAGCGGGTGTGCCCCTGGGCAGAGTTACGTCACACATCTCGGTGTTCACAGACGCATCTCTCTCAGGGTGGGGAGGAACGTGTATGTCGCAGGCAGTGGGGGGACAGTGGCCGGCTCACATGTCCCTCCACATAAACGTGCTGGAATTGCTCTCCGTACGGAGAGTAATCCAGCATTTTGCCCCGTTGCTGTGGAATCAGCATGTGTTGATTCGCACAGACAACAAAGCCGCGGCAGCTTACATCAATCGCCAGGGCGGAGTACGCTCAGCGCAGCTTCTGAACACAGCCAGGCCGCTGTTGATCGGGGCGCGCGCACACTTGATCTCCATCAGAGCAATGTATGTTCCCGGCGAACTGAACAAAGGGGCAGACCTCATGTCCAGAGGAGGTCCTCGCCAGGGGGACTGGAGCCTCTATCCCGAGCTGGTCTCCCAGGTATGGAGCCGGTTCGGGAGAGCAGAGGTGGATCTGTTCGCCGTACGCGGGAACGCGCAATGCGCCCTCTGGTTCTCCCTGAAAGCGCAGGACCACCTCCCCCTGGGGGTGGACGCGTTCACACATCGACCGTGGCCCAGGGGACTGTTGTACGCTTTCCCACCAGTCCTGCTGATCCCTCGGTTCCTGGACCGAGTGCAGGAGGAGCGACTGTCAGTGATCCTAATTGCCCCGGAGCGCACGGGCGCTTCCTGGTTTCCATGCCTACAGCGTACGCTGTCAGGCAGACCGTGGGAAATTCCGTGGCGCTGGGACGCTCTCTCGCAGGTCGAGGGAGCGATCAACAGTCACCCTGTGATAGGCCAGCACTTATGGGCATGGCCCCTGAACGGGAACACTTAGAGGGGCTGGGCCTCTCTCAAGATGTTGTACGTACCATTCAGGGAGCCAGGGCCGCGTCTACCAGAGCGTCCTACACAGCCAAGTGGACAGCGTTCCAGCGTTGGTGTGTAGGAAAAAGCCTGGACCCCATTACGTGCCCCCTGCCGCACGTGCTGTCATTCCTCCAGCTGTTGTTGGACAGGAATTTGGCCTTCAACACAATCAAGGTATATGCTGCTGCCATATCATCTTGTCACGTGGGTTTCGGGGT